ATGTGAAATTTTTAAATAGAACTAGAGTTGACGAAAACTACATTTTCGGATAGAGGATAGTCGATTGTATATGTATCTACCAAAATTGGCTCGGGGTACTGCCAGTCGGGAAGCAAAAATTTTTCTTGAAAGTTTTCAAGAGAAAGAAACAAAAAGAGTATATCGACTCGAGTAGGAATCGAACCCACGCCGTAAGAATTCTCTTTCTTTCTGTTCTGATGTCCACTGAGCTATCGAGTTATACTTTTCTATCATCCTTTTTTTTAGTATATTTGAGATGATGGAAGAAAATGAATTTTTATTGACTTTTGACCACTATTACGTCTTATACATGGGAACGTTTTAATTTCTAAAATTGGCATTTGTTAACGAACTGAAAACAGGCGGTTAATAGCACCAAGCAATGACCGTTTTTGCATCATTAGTGGCTATTAACAGTCAATTATTTGAGCGTTTTCTTTCATTAATGTTTTTTTATTAGTACTTCAACTATAGCTAGTGATTTTCAAAATTTTTAACATTTTTGGTTCCAGGTCCATGGTACCATCATTGACACCCAGAACCAGTTACTACTTCCTCGAGACAAGTTTTGATGACGTGTACGATTGAGAAAGAGACGAAAACCAGCACATTTCTTCGAAATTACTACGGAGTTTGCCATATAATTTTCAAAAGACAGAACTATAAGCGGTGTCCCTGCACTCACCTATATATGTCGTTATATATCAAGGTTTTTTATATTTTTACTTGATTTTAATAGTATAAAAAGTGTTGACCACTTTTTCTGGGTAGGAGAGAATTTCTTCGACAGATATGCAACTGGATGATCACCTAGCGAAGATGTTTGGATTAAAACTGCACCAATACCTTCATCTGATGCATCTGTTTGAAGCTTAAATGGGAGCACGTTATTCGGTAAACGTAATACTAAATCAGTTGTTAAAATACGTTTTAGTTCGTTAAATGCTGCTTCTTCCTCCAAAGAGAGTACGATTTTTGATGACTGGGATCGTTTGTCACGTTGTTGAGCTGTTGTCGGTGCATATTTGTATAGTGGCCCAGCAATTTGGGAAAAATGAGGTATAAATTTACGGTAATATTCAGCGGCTTTAACGAAACGAAATGCTTCCTTAGCTGTTGTTGGTGATTTTGTGTCCAATAAGCCTCGGATATTGTCCGGATTGGGCATTAGGTTACCGTCTTGGATACGATGACCGAGAAATACTATTTCCGGTTTTGCTATTTCGCACTTATCGACGTTCAATCGAAAATTTGCTTGTTCGAGTAATTGGCAAACTTCTTGTACGTATAACAGGTGTTCTTTAAAGGTTTTAGAATAAATAATGATATCGTCGATATAAGCTAAGCAATGCCGCCATCGTGTTGGACCTAATATTTGATTAATAATTCGTTAAAATGTAGGAGGACCGTTCTTGACACCTTGTGGTAAGACTGTAAATTGAAAATGGTTATCGCGGGTAGAAAATGCCGTTTTCGGACGATCTTTTTTATCGAGTGGTACTTGAAAATATCCGCTTTTAAAATCGAATTTTGTAAAATAAAGTGAATCTGATAACTGGTCGAGAATGTCATCAATTCTTGGTAATGGGTACGAATCCTTTGTTGTTATCGTATTTAATTTTCGATAATCGACGCAAAATCGAATTGAACCATCTTTCTTCTTTATCAGGACCACCGTGGATGACCACGGAGATATAGAAGGTTCTATTCTACCTTGCTTGAGCAATTTATTTGTTTCTTGTATAAGGATCTCCTGATCTTTCTGTGATTGTCGATAGGGTGGTGTATAGACTGGTCGATGGTTTCCAGTGTCGATAGCATGTTGATAAGTGGTTTTGATAACTGACGGTTGTCGTCCATCAAATAATTTTCCATACTTCCATAAGATAGCTTGAATCTGTTGTTTCTCCATTGGATTTTCGATATGGTCAGTTAATTGTTCGATTTGATCACGCATGTCTTCAGGATAACACGATTGGCGCAGATGAATATATAGATCATTACCGGATAAAAACTTCTGATTACAGACATAACATTGATGATTATGCTGATTATTGAGTGGCGTACATGAAATATCTCGTACTACTCCACAGGAACGATGACCGTTCCTCTCATGATGTGGTGGGCTCCAGGAACGAAAAACGTTCCTCCTACGATCTAATGTCAGACATATAGTTGACGTAGAATTATGTGATATTGAACCTAATTTTGTGTTTCTCGATAACGTATGTTGTCGATCGCTAGCGTTAACGATAAGAATATGTGTTGTCCCGCTTTTTAC